ACCCCTCCCTCACGCATCACCCCCGCCCCCAGCGGAAACTCCACCATCCCATGCGACCGGCTCTCCTCCCTCGCCACGCCCCTCTCCTCCTCCACCATATCCACCTTGACCCTCGCCACCTCTCTCCCCACCCTCACACTTCCCTTTGCCTGCCTCGCTCTCGCAGGCAACTTGATCCAAACTCTCTCATTCGCATCATCTCTCTGCTCTCGCGGCTCATTGATGTTTGCAATTGGCATTCTCTTCGTCAGGCACAACAATTTCCCCTCCCCCTCGCTCGCCTCCCAAGCACACTCCACCTCTTCCTCACCCCACAACAACACCGAAACACACCCCAACCCGCTGTGAGCCTCTGCAAAAGAATGCATCTCAATCTGTTCCCCAAAAAAACACAACATGTCAGTTAACCGTCATCACAGCAATCTTACAATACGCTTGTTTCGAACTTACACTGACGGTTCGCAAACCTGGATGATGGTGGTGTGACGACAAGATCGGCAAAAGTGACCGTGGGGGATTTCGAGACGCGTTTGGCCGAAATTTCCTCCAGCTGCGCTCTGAAAATTGGATCGGGCGTCAAGGGCGATTTGGGCCACGTGGGCGTAGCCGGATTCGACGTGAGCTGCGAACTCCTCCTGGACGAAACCTTGCTCGTGCCGCTGGACCAGCTGACAGGACTGCGCGGCGAGTAGGCAGCCGAGATCATCGACATCCTGTGGTTCGAAGTGGTCGTGTCAATCGAGGCGAACGTGTAGTCGTCGAGCATGCTATCGTCCTCTTCCTCCTCCGTACTAGCTCTCGGCACCAGACTCTCCTCGCGTCCTCTCGGCGTGTCGTCAGCGAAGTCGATCGCTCGAAACCCAGTCTGCGCCACCATCAAACGCGATGCACGCTTGTCTTCGGCTCGCGGCTTGCCCTCGTTGAACATGCTGGCAAGCGTGTCGGCAATGTCCGACTTGGCACGCGAGTCCTGCGTGGTGGCTGAACGACGACGACGGACCGTCGCGTCCTGCGTAGCTGCACCAGCGAATGCAGCCACATCCGTATCCTCCTTGGGCTTCACCTTGGTCGTATCGTAGATAGACGCACGACGGATGGCGTTTCCGATGCTCGCCAACGAAAGCTTGCGTACAAACGTCTGAGGAATCAGCGAGCTTCGGCGCGACGACGCAGCCGAACCGCTGTGCATCGAGCTCGGCGTGTTTGGTGTCCTCGGCACATCGGCATCCAACCTAGCGACATCCGGCTTGCGTGCCTGTTGCGCAACAGCCTGAGCATCCGCAGTTGGCGCCGGAGGAGCCGGTCTCGACGCACGCAGCGTCGGAGGCTCGCTGCGCTGATCGTTCATGCGCTTCGAACTCGACTCGGACAGGCGACCGATCATGTCTTGCAGCTGCACCTGGCGCTGCTCCTCGGGCGAAAGCGCACGCTGGTCGTTGAGCTGCGGCATGACGGTCGACAGACGGTCGATCGAGCTCTGCACCACGGCAAGATCCTCCGGAGTGCGCGCGGCGTAGGCGCTGTGCTGCGCCGCCAACTTGGCGCGGCGACGCTCGAGCAAAGTGAGAGGCTCGACGGGCGTCTTGACATCGGTGGCCCTAACACCGCTGGCAGACGCCTCATCGTACCGCGGCAGGTCATCGGCTTCCGAGGTGCCTTGCTGACGAGCTGCTCTCTTGCCGAGCTCGTAACCGGGACCGTCCGAAGCGTAGCCAGGTAGAGCGGTGCTGGCAGCGCTGTCGGTGAGCACCGAAAAGCGCTTGCGGTAGGGCTGCGCCGTCGAGTCGGACTTGCCGGCGACGGAAGCCGCCCGCGAGGCCTGATCGGACCGAGGCGACTGCGGAGCGGTCACCAAGCCGAGAGCCGACGGTCGATGGGCATACAGACTCTCGAGCGAGAAAGTGGTAGTCGTGGCGCTCGATGGTTGACGTACCGTAGCCATATCAAACACGGAGCCATCGACGTGGTGCTGTTCAGCCTGCGACGGCGCTGCTGGAGTGACGGCTTGACGACTGTTTGCTTCGACCTTGTGCTGCTTCAGAACATCGCGACTAGCCGTGGGCGTAGCTTCGTCCGACGACGTAGAAGGCGTGATGTGCGACCGGGTCGAGCCAGAAGAGGTGCGCGATAGCGATCGGTGCGAGCTCGCCTGGGGCGAGTGCTGAGAGGGAGGGTGCATGGAGCGACGGCGCGACGCAGCAGCAAGCATAAGCGGTGTGCGTGGAGGACTCTCGAGGACAGCTTGCGACAGCCGCCGTTGCGTCGTGAAGAGCGAGTGGATGAGGCTGGTGAGGTTGGCCAGCAACCCCGCCTGGTGAGCGTCGTGCACATCGCCAAGCACGAGCGCGAGCCTGTCGACGAGCAAGACGAGACGATCGGCGTCCGACATCTTGCTGTGGGCCGGAGATCGAGCAAAGGTGGGAGACAGCGGAGCATTGTGTCCGGCGATGAGGCGGAGCGAAGCAAACATGTCGTCGAGGATCTGAGTGATGCCGGCGTCAGGCGTGTGGCTCGACGAGGCCGACGCGAAGTGCAACTCGGCGAACGAATTGAGAATGGACTGGAGCTGCTCAAGCTGCTGGTTGCGAACGTCGCGCAGCGCGTCGTGCGTCGACGCTGGGTCAGATTCGTGGTCGGGTTCGGGCTCGGCGATCTCCTCGAGCTCGTCCATGTCGTGGCTAGAGTTGCTGCCAGCGAGGTGGTAGGACGAGGCTCTGCGCGGGCTACACGGCATGATTGCGTCGTCCGCCATGGAATTTTGGCGGCTGCGTCTCGCCTGCGCATCGTTGTGTGCCGCGATGGCAAACTGCTGCTGCAATGCCATGGGACTCGGCAGGTTGTCCTCGGGTTCATGCGTGGGTACCGAGGGGAGGAGAATAAAGTCGTTGGTGCGGATGATGGTGGGAGAAGCTGGTGTTCGAGTACCCGAGAGGTCAGGCGAGCGACGCAGAGGTGCCGCCGAAAGGCGCTTGGACCTTTGCTGCTCGAGCGTAGCCATTTGGAGATGCGAGATGGGATGTGGACAAGGAAAAGAGCCGACGGTAGATGTCACTGCCAGAGTGGACGCGGAAACGTTGAAGGGAAGGATGGAAATAAGGGGTCCAGCGATGAAGCGATGAAGGGGACTGAGAAGAGGCGGAACGATGGAAGGTAGAGAGAGAGTTACCGGTCGAGGTATATATGGATCTAGGAGTGCAGGAAAGTGGTGGCGTTCGTGGAACGAGGTATCGGAGAGAAGCAGGAAAAGAAGGAAGACGCCTCGCTTGCTGCCGAGCCCCAAAGCGGCTTCAAGAGGCGGTAGCGAGAGGAGGCAGCTGTGGTGTCGCAGCGATAACGGTACAAGCCACTTTTGCGCCGGAGATGGATTCGGAGTCGAGGAGAATGTTCGACGTTGGTGGGCGGCAGAAGAGGCTAGCGTCAAGAGCGCAGGCGCTTAGCTGAATGCAGAAGATTGGGCTAAACGGTGTTCAGAGGATGGGTCCAAAGAGACAAGGGATGTGCGTACCAGGCCGAGTCTGGCAGAGCCAACGGTGGGCGGTGTTTCCACAAGGAGCTGGGCGTCAGGGTAGGAGCGCGGCGCAAGTGTTGATGGAGATGAACAAAGATCGACGCCGAGGGTGCGGCGATCCAGAGAAGAACACGGCAGAGACGTCTTTGCGATGTCGCATTCGGTGGATTATGGAGACAATGAGAGATTGAAGACGATGCGGACGGACGAGCGTGCGCGCGTGCGATGCGACAATGCGGAACCAGAGAAGCGGGAGCACCAGCCCTGGCAACGAGGACGAGCAGGAAGCCAAAAGCCATACGACAGACTGTGAAGCCACTTTTTTTTGAGTTTGGCCTCCGAAAGATGAAGGACGAGGAGGACAAAGGGAACGAGCGGCACGGCACGACCCAGCCATGGTGTCCTGCAATGCCAAAAAAAGAAAAAGAAAACGCGGGGATCAAGCGGTCGGCTCGCCTAGACTTGACTTTTGACGGCAGTCCGGCTCAGCGCCCCTTAAACTTAGCGAAAAAGAAAAATCCAGATTAAAGTTGGAGCGGCACACTCAAGCGGCAGAAGAGGAGGCGTCCGAGCAGTGTGTCACCACATCGCTAGATTTCATTGAACCCTTCTCGGCAACACTGCCAGGAAGCGCTCAACAAAGCTTTCGCGGCCAGAGAGTTTTCCTTAAAAAAAAGAAAATGTGACACCTCCCAAGCGCCACCACGAGCTAGAGAGTCTAAGTTGACGGATGAGACAGAGTCGAATTTAGCTAGATACTGTAAAATGCGTCAAGGTCAGGTCAGGATTGACATCTGCAAACTAGCTTGAACCGAGAAGATCATCTACGCTGCAGCTCGACACTCGAGTTCAACGACCAGATCAAACCCATCAACTGCACTCCTCCCTCATGATCAATTCACCATCGAGAAATTGAGCACATTGCAAATTCGATTGTAGGGATCACGATGGGTTCGAAACCTCGTGCGGCCATTGTTGCGCTCCTCGGACAAGAGGTGCCATCTTAGGTTGGACATAGGGGGATTTTTTGATCGACACATGCCGTATTTCCAAGTCAGACAAGGACCGGCAGCGTAGCGCGTCACCAGCGTCTGGACGAGTGTGCCGTCGGTGCCAGATTGTGGCTGACACCTTGTCGTGTAACGCGGGACATCTTGATGCCACTCACCTTGCTGTCCCAAGCCAAGCCAAACAGAAAAGAGGCGTCGATGGCTATATTGGTACGACGAAAAATCGTGGTACAGAATCCAATCTAGACCGTAGTTCACAACCGAGTCAGTATCAGACATCCTATCGGTCAACTTGGTCAGTGTCGTGGGACACGGTGACAAAAGGGCTTCACAGCCGCCGACCTTTTTGTTTTTCGCCGAGCTTGTCCCAATGCGATCAAAGACCAAATCTCAGGGTCCAATCTCGTTTGACCGCAAGCGGATTTTTTTCGCGCGTT